CTATTTCGCCCCATCGAGAGACGACCCCCAGGGAACTGCTTCACCATCAAAACTCCCCACGCAACGCGTCCGAACGACACCCGCCCCCAAGAGCGCAACATGGGCAACGAACGCACAGACAAAAACCAGCGATGCCATATCACGGGCCGGCGGAATGAGCGAAGCGATTCAATAAACACAACAACAGACAACTCATGAACTGCTTCTCCCATCAGGGAGAGGAATGCGCAACTTGCCACGCATGCGAAAAAACGCTGCAACCAATGCCGACGGGTCGGAAACCAGAGGAAAGCTCAGCAATGCCGGCGACCGCACTTCTGGCAGTATGGGAAGGGACAGCGGCACATCACTTCATAGTGGCATGGAGACTCCAAGGTGGGGTCAGACATCATGCGGGACTGCCCCACGCGGAAACCATCCGCCGCCACCGCGAAGGGCGGGGGGGCCGCCCTCGGGGGCCAAGGCTGCGCTCTACCATGGCGCCACAGATCTGATGCCTTCACGCCTTCCGCCCCGGGGAGGGGGGCGGGGCCCGCCGCCGCCACCCCGTCCGCGGAGGGGCGGTGGTGGCGCTTCCACACGGCGCGGCAGCAGGCGCGGTCTTGGCACGAGGCGCTTAGCTTTAGGGCCGACAGCAGCGCGCGGAACTGCAGGCGCAGCCAAGACGCCGCCTCAGGTCTTGCGCCAGCCAGTGGAGCCCGAAACGCTGGGCCTGCGAGCTCGGCCACCTGTGAGCGAATCGAACGGGCTGCTTGGGATGCAGTGCATCGGCAGCTGTGACGTCCACCCACCAACGGAGGGCGGGGGGCGCCCTCGGGGCCCCCCAGTGGACCACTTCAGCACTGCTGGCGGATGCCATTGCTTTTTCAGGCCACGGATGAAGCGCGCCAGCGTGCTCCTGCAAGCTACCGGCTCCCCCCTTCTCCAAGGCATTCCTCGCCTGGCCGAGCGCCCCGTCGAAGCGGGGGCCCGCGGGGGGCCGCCCCGAGGACGGCGGCGGCCTCGACGGCGGCCCTGCGCCGTCGTCGTCGTCGTCGTCGTCGTCGTCGTCGTCGTCGTCGTCGTCGTCGTCGTCGTCTTCGTCGTCGTCGTCGTCGTCTTCGTCGTCGTCGTCGTCGTCGTCGTCGTCTTCGTCGTCGTGGGCGACCCGACAGTGGGGCCACGCCGGGCGCGATGTGAGGCGCGCAGGCGGGCGGGGCGACGAGTCGCTTCACTGGCGGGCCTCGAGCTCGGCCACGCCTCTGCAGAGCCCTCGGAAGCAGGAGGTGAGATTCAAGACCTTGGGCCGAGCAGTCGGCCTGCAAAAGTGGCCTCGCCTGGAGTGATCCACGGGCCAAAAGCTCCTCGCTCGACGGCGGGTCTCTGGCGCCATCCGATGGCGCGCGGGTGCCCCGCGGAGCCCGCCAGGGGCCCGATGCCCCAAGGGCTGCCCCGCGCGCCGCGCGGCCAGAAGAGAGCCCCAGGCAGTCGAGGAGGTGCGCCGCCGCGCCTGAGCTGGGCGTCGACAGGGAGCTGCGCCGCGGCTGCAACGGCTCGACGCGGCGCCGCCCGGGCGCCCGACGGCAAAGGAGCAGTGCACAAGCCCGCGCGCGGAAGGATAGCAACGCCCGCCGGCCGGGCCCCCGCGCGGCCCAGCTCTCGCAGGGAAGAAAGACGCCTTCCACTTCTTGCGGAGACGCCACGGAGATGCCGAATCGATCACGTCTTGGAAGATGCAGTGCTCCCGAAGCAAGACAGGCTCGGGGGGGGGGGCGATCGTGCGCCCCGGCCACCCCCGAACAGAAACCTAACGGGCTGCCGTGGCACGTCGCCACAAAACCGGCTGGAGCGCACCTCTCGGGAACCTGCGGGGCTCGAGGTGCTGCGGCAGGGGGGGGGGCCCGAGTGCCGACCTTCGCCTGGAGGTCCTCTAGGCCCAGAATATTTTGGCACAGGAGCGACCCACCACTTCACAGCCCAAAAACTTACAAAAGGATACCAATGGCTGTCAAGAACCCGCCCTCAGCACCCAATAAGGCGAACTAACCGGGATCAGAACTCCGACGGAAACCAACCTAGAAGCAACACAGACCGTCTCAGACCTACCAGAAAGGGTTTTACCCATAACCAAAAGACCCCGGACACACTCCTCCAATTTCTTGACAGCGGACTGGATGCTGCACTTCGGCAACTTGGGCGCTCTGGAGGACTGCATGCCCTCATGCCTCATTGGGGGCCACCTACTAGTTTACTGGTCCCCCACCAATCCGAGTGGATGAGGACACTATCATTAGACTGGACCTGACAACGTGATAATCGAACGCGGGGGCCCAACAGGAACAGGGGGCTGGACTTTTGGGCGGGCACAAAGAAACTGCCCCCCGTGTCGAATTGCTTATCAGGTAGCGGGAGGAGGGATGGACCGCTCACGAGATGGTGCAGGCGATCCTGTCCCTTCTCCTCTTGGAATGGGTTCACAGGCCAAAGGGAACTCAGGTCGGTCTCGCACCCTCCGCTGCCCCTCGGCTGGGTGGCATCCTGTGGACAAAATGCGGGCTCCTCTCGCTTTGCAATCATCCACCGGGTCCCGGGTTCGATTCGGCACACTCGAAGTCGTGGCCCTCGTCTGCTGCATCACCAGGGTCCGCGTCCACGGGTGCCGCAACCTTCGAAGCGGTACTGGGTTCGGAAGGGCGGGGCTCACCGCCATCACCACGTTGACGCTTGGCCGCGAGCCTCTTGAGCATCTTCTCCGATTGCTGTTGGGAGGTGCGAACCTTGACGAAGGCGTCACCGAACAATTCCCGACTGGCATCCTGACGGGCTGCTTGAGATCATCCGGTCGTTTGGAACATTCCTCCAAGTCCTGGTCCGACGTCTCGAAATTCTCCTGCAACTTGAGGAGAGTTGGTCGGAATAGGGATGTACTGTATGTACTACGCGTCTCCCTGAAGAATGACGGCGATGCGGAGGAGGGCGAAGGCACAGCAGGGTGAGCAAGACGCTTCAACGAAATTTGCTCGTGCAACTTCAGGGACAACTTATTGTGAAACTCTGCGGCCTTGCTGAGCTCACCGAACAGTTCCGTGATCTTCTCCTTCATCTTGTTGACGTCCTCGACCATGCGGTCGTTAACCGCACAAGCCTTGCCCGTCTTCCCACGAAGGAACAGAACTCTCCGAACGCCTTGTTCACATGATGTTGGATGGGCACGACAAATACAAACAACAAACGCTTCTTCTTCCTCTCGAGAACCGCTTGATGCTTCTTCAGGCCAACACTGCCTCCTGCCTCCACAACGAGCTAACATGGCGGCCAGCTCCTCCAAGTCTCCCACTGAAGCCTCCAAGCTGGCCATAGCCGCAGTGGTCCCAGAGTGACCGTAGTCTAATAGGGAGCCAAAACGAATAGGAAACCGAAGCCCAAGCTATGACGAGCATGCTCCACGAGGTGAAAAGTGCTCAGCCTGTTCGACATCGTTGAGAGGCACTTTGCAATGCTAGCAAAACCACCAGAGTTTGCAGCCGCAGCTGCCACAAATCCGAAACCCTCTGCCGCAGTGGGCTCCTTTGTTCCACGGAACCCCTGAACGCAAGCCAACCGGCATGGTCCCCAGCACGAGGAGGAGCCATGGCAATAACTTAGGCATGACTGTAATTACCTTGCTTTCACCTCGCTCGGAGGCGCTCAAGCCAACATACTGATGATAACAGCACACGGTCTGCCCCAGCACATTCAAAGCTCGGAGGGCTTGGGTGCAGGGGGGGGAGTGCGGGATGGGGGTGCGGGGAGGGTGGGGCAGGGGTGGGAGGTGGGGTCCCAGGTCAAAACACCTGCCCCCAAGGGTCCGGGCGGGTCCTGGCTTCAGGGTCGGCGGAACCAGCCGTGAGGCCTTCGCACTGATAACGACGACGCCGTCTGCGACCCGGGATACATTAATCATCGCCCACGGCGCTGCTGCGGGACGCCCTTCCCCTCCGCATTTTCAAATCGCCATTCTGCATCCTGGGTAACCTCATGCCCGTGAGAATAAACACTAGGGGATAATAAAGTTCGGGGTTCAGGGAGAGATAATAAAAGTAGCCCAGCAGACCTCAGCATAATCTCGAAGTAAGAGATGATCAAGAGGAGACCAAGCCGAGCACGTTTTGAGACATCCTTGGCGTTTAGTTTTCATAGAAATATCCTCAACAATGGCTTATCTCTCATGAAAATTGTTTTTTGTAAGTGCTCGTGTAGGGTAGCTCATGTGCCTCAATTTCCATGGATAATCAACCCCAGAGATAAAAAAGTTCAGGCGAGCGTGGGGACAGAGAGAAATATAAAAGAAGAAGAATACAGTAGAAGAATAATAAGAAAGAAGAAGAAGAGGATAATAAGAAGAGGACGAAGAAAGGAAAAATCCAAAGTTCCAAATCTATCAATTTTAATTTACAAACGCTTTATGAAAATTGATTTTTTAAGTGCTCGTGTAGGGTAGCTCATGTGCTTCATTTTCCATGGATAATCAACCCCAGGGATAAAAAAGTTCAGGCGAGCGTGAGGACAGATAGAAATATAAAAGAAGAAGAGGAAAGTAGAATAATAATAAGAACATTGCTCGTTTCGTTTGAGTCTGCCTCCCAAAATTATTGGTTTCGCTTGACACATCCTGAAAAAGTGTGATCGCTTCGCTTGATGTTGCTATATCAACATCGCTTGATGTTGCTATCTCAACATAGCGTTTCGAGGTGATAATGAAGTTCGGCCTCAGCGCTCGCCGCCCAATTTGAATTTTGTATAGGGCGACGATAATCAACTCTAAACACTGAAGGGGGGGGGTCCCTTTATTATCATCGGCATGCGGTTATACGTCCCGCCCCAGATGCATGCCGACCCGAGCCAGCGGGGGCGAGTGCTTCCGCCGGCGTGGCGTGGCGCGAGCCACGCCCAGCGAGCGGCGCGCCCCCTCCTCGCAGAAGCTGCCCCGAAGTGGCCGCGCGGCCCCAACCGGGGGGCGGGGGCGGCTCCGAGCGCCCGGCGAAGCCGGTCGAGGTGGAGATGCAGAAGCCGACCAGCTCCTGCCAGCAGGAGCCGACCGAGCGCGGCCCGTGCGGGCTGCGAAGAGAAGGATTAGGAAGCAACTCCTGGGAGGTCTTCGCAATAACGGTTTAAGGACTAGAAATCCCGATAGAGGGGACATTAAGCCGGATTCGCCCAGACTGCGTCCCAAATCAATCTGTTTCAAGCGGGATCAAACAAGATTCAGCGGGATGTGGCCGGGTTTGTGACCACGGATACACCAGCGCCGATGCTGAATTGAACCTCCAAGGAGCTTCATCCTAGGAAGAGCACCGTACGCAGTAGGAGTAGGCGACCTTACGCGGCGGCTCACGCGGGCCGCCAACGCGGCGGCCACCAGGTCCACAAGGGGGCGCGACCGTGTGACCCTGCGCGGGCGTCGTGCGAATGTCCGCGCAGTCGATCCGCTCCTTCTTCTCGCCACTCACGCAAGACGAACAGATCGGGGGAACCGCGACCAACGCAAAGACGAGGCTGGCCGCACGCATGCGTGACCCTTTGGCAGGAGCGACAATCGGCGCGCGGCTTGCCAATCGTTGAGTGCGATGCGACGGAGGCGGCCCGAGTGCTTGAGTCCAGCCCCCGCACGTCCCCCGAAAGGACGCGCGCATGGCGCGGGCAGCATAGACCGGGTAGCAAAGTCAACGAGAAACACTGAAACACACAAAGGCCTGATGACTGGTCTGTGAGTCTGTGATGACTGGGTATCGCATCCATGAGATTGTATGGAATCGCGGAATTGCCGTCCGTGAGAGTGCACGAAGTGGTCAAAAGCAAATCCGGCCGCAAATTGTAGGAAAAGAATCGAGAGCAGAAAGCTTTGTGACGTGTTTGTGCTGACTGGCTAACGCGTCGATGACCAAAGATCACTCCTGCGAAGATCCACTCTCACGTGCAGCCGACGATGCCTCTGCAAACAAATCGAGAACCTCTCTGCGAGCCGACATTTTAAGAACACGCATCGTGGGCCACGGCCCTTCTGGAGCGCTCTGGAGTGATCCGAGGAAGGATCCGGCAAGATCTGCCAGCACAGAATCGTAACATCGGGTCGAATCGAAATGTGCGTCTGATCAGGCTGCATCGGCACGGGGTCTAAACCGAATCGGATCGGGTGCGGCGCAATGCGAGCATCGGGCCACCTCAGCTAGTCGAAACCAGATAATCGAATCGGGTCGGACTGGCCAACATCGATATGGAATCGGATCGCGAGAATCGGAATGGAATGGGCCATGTCTGGCGCAAGCGATTCGCAGCTGCCTCGGGAATGTCTGGAAGATGGCTCTCTGCAGCACGGACGGTGGCAGGCCGCAGCGCGTGGTGCGCCGCGCGGGCGCAATGGTCACAAAGCGCTGGCGCCCCTTCGCTTCCTTGCACGCGTGCGTGAGTTCCGACACGCGCGTCCTTGATGAAGGTGGACGGATCGATGTTGGAGCCCGTGTCCTTGATGGTGCTCTTCGACCTCTGGGGACACTTCCATGCTACGCTGCCGCGGGAAGTAGAGAGATGCTGGGATCGCAGCCCTCCCCAAAACGTGGCCGCGCGCGCAAGAGGGTAGAGGGCGGGGAGAAAGCTTCTCAGAAAGAGGCTGCTTCTCAGAATGCGCCGGCCTTGCATCTATAGGTGGCGCGCGCCGTCTAAAAAGCAGGGGTGTTTCTAAGAAACCTCCCCAACTCCCCCTACCCTCCATGGTGCGCGTGGCTGACAAACCACGTCACGCCCCCCCTGCCCTGCAATCCCCCGTCTTTCTTTCTATCCTCGATCCGTTTATTCCCCAAATTTCAGTCGTCCCCGAAACCCTGCCGGGTCCATTTCTCCCTCCTCAAATGAGACCCCCGAGCTCTCGACCCCAACTCCAGCACTCTTTTGTTCGCCGGGAGTCGGCCACTTCCAGCGCCCGCAAGTGGCCCACGGACACCGAATCTGTGGACAAGCAGCACCCGCAGTATCCGTTCACGGCGACAGGGCAGCATATGAATTCACCCTCCTTTCGTGTGCTCTGTCTTCGCCCCTCCTACCATCGGAGCCGGGCTGCGGCTCTGCTAACGTAGACCGCTCCGGCGCCGCCGCAACAAACCCCAAACACAAATCATTTATCCGCGTCACCCGCTAGGGCAAATTCGTGTCGCGACCACTTCGGCGTCGGTTTCTGACACCGCGTGGACCGTTCCGTCTTGAACCATCGGCGGCTGTCTGATCGCAATATCGTTCAATGTTGGCGGTCCTGGACCGCCGGCAGGAACCAGCCTTGAAAGCGCTGGGGTCGTCGCCGCATGTTGGCGGCGCGCACAAGGGGGTAGGGGGAGGGGGGAAGGCTTCTTAGAAGGAGGCTGCTTCTTAGAAGGCGCCGGCCTCACATCTACAAAGAAGGCCCGCGCCTTCTAAGAAGCAGGGGTGCTGCTAAGAAGCCTTCCCCCCTCCCCCTACCCCCCTCTGCGCGTGGCCAGGCATGGACACCACACG